TTTATCAAATATTTACACTTCGTCAAACCGCAGTCACAGATGCAATGATATGCGATTCCTATCACCACATACGCAGAGATCCATAGGGCACGCGCCCCTGTCAGGGAAATGGCGGATAAAAGGCCGTGCCCTACTGATTCAGAATGTGGTCGTAGTGAAGTGACTCTTTGTAGGTTTGGGGGAAGAATTTGTGAAATATCCTGCCTTTCAAAGAAAATTCCCATTCTCGTTGCTACTTTGAGTCAATAATTGCATTTAAGATACAATTTATATGGGACTGGGCCCACGGAACTTGGATCACGACACTGCTGATGTTAGTTGTTCTGTAATAGAAAACTAAAGTCCTTATCACTTTTAAATTAAGTTAGATGAATGAAACTGTAGAGCGATTAGTCTTACTTCGGAATTGAAAATATGAAAAATGAATGATGCTCTCATTGCAATTCGAATTCCAACCTCCCAATGTTAGCCAGATGTACACTGTGGGGGGAAAAAGGGGGGGGAAGTTTTATATCTCCCGTTCTACTGGGCCGATTGACAAAATTCAAATTGCGTTTTTCATGTCTCAAAAGCGCGACTTAGGATATATATTAAATTGATATATAGCATTGTTCTAACATGGATATTTTGACACAAATCAGACATTTTCTGACATAGCATACCAATATTTTCCCATATTTCGATTCTACGATTCAAATTTTGCCTAGATATTAAATTTTGTAAAATTTGGTGAGAAATTTACGGAGAAATTAAAAAATTAATCTTGGCACAATTTTTTCAGTTTTCGCCAAGAAAAATTCACTTGGCGAACTTCTTAATATGTGGCAACCAATTTTCCTTTCTCTTCCTTTATGCCGGAGAGAAAAAAAAGGCACCTCGTTCCTACCTTTTTACATAATGCATAGAAAAAAAAAAAAAAAAAAAGTCGCATTGTTTCTATTTCCAAATTATTTTAGAAAAAAAAAGTGTCTAAACCACATTTGATGTTTTGTCGCTTTCAATGAATATGCCAAATTTCAAAACTCACCAATATATAAATTCACGTATATCTTCGGAAATTTTGAGTAAAAAACTGTCATTTTTTGCAGGTATGCTTAGAAATACGTCTACTTTAAGATGACAGTAAAAACTTTAAAGATTATAATTCAAAAATGTTTTGAAAAATTTATAATTTTTTTTTAAATACAGATTTTAAAAATAAATCATAAAAAATGGGTGAATTTTATTTGGAATGAACCTAAATTTCGAAATGTGAAAGGAAGAATCAAATAAGTTTAATAAAAACAGAGAGATTAATAAATATATTCCAAACTCAATTAACATTGAGGAGCTAAAATTTTGAAGAGCTAATTGTTTAAAAACTACTCGTGCGATTTTTACAAAATTTGGTAGTTTGGCGTAATTTGAGTCGTAGAATCGAAATACGGGAAAAAATTGGTATGTTATTTCAGAAAAAGTCCGATTTTGTGTCAAAATACCTATATTAGAACAATGCTATATATAAATCTAAAGACATATCCTAAGTCACTCTTTCGAGACATGAAAATCGCAAGTTGAATTTCGTCAATCGGCCCAATAGAACGGGAGATATCGAACTGTCTCCCCCTCCCCCCGCAATGTACTTCCCATTTCTCCACGAATGCAAGTGGTAAGGCAGGAGAGAATTTTGTATACTCTCTCTCACTTAAAGGGCGATGGGAGGAGAAAGGAACCCAGTCTCCAAATCCGAGTTATGACCAACGAACATCAAACACATTTCAATTTGATGCCACTGTAGAGCAATTTTGAAGTTTTTTAGAGCCATAAAACATGAAGAATCTGAAGATTCGAACTGCGGACTTCCCGATTGTCTGTTGGACGTGTTTCCAATTTCACCATGAAAAGGAAGAGGAAAATTTCTTACAAAGTTATTAACATCAATTAGTGCTGCCATAGATTTTTTATAACCTACTCAATATGACTAATGCTCAGTTGTAAATTTCTGGCTACTCCTAGGAGTTTATTGTGATTGAGTTATCGGAATCACATGTCCGTTTACTTTTAATTTTATATAGACATCTGTGTTGGTAATCTCTGAAAAGCAAGCCATTGCTCTTTTAAGCATCAATTTGCCGGATTTTCAATGATAAACATTACTTAATGTGAACTTCAGTCCCAAATCATTCAAGAGGAAATAGACAGTTGCAGTGTATATGTTGCTAATTAATTTTATAAATTTTTATTGTCGTTTCCGATGCAAATAAAAGGATAAAGATTTTGGTGCAAATAAAAGGATTTTGTAGAGAAGCAGTTTATAAATGCTTATTCTTTTTGATGTGAATGAAAGGATAAAGAGAAAAAAAAACTTATATAGAGGAGATACATAATATTGGGCTTTTGTTGCTTATATAATTCTAATGCGATTTACTGCTCTCGAATAATTTCGGAAAATAAAAGATCGATTTTATTTTAAGTCCTTAATGTCTTGCTTTGGTTCATGTGTGATTAGAACAAATAACATCTGCCAACAGAGTTTAGAAGAGAGATATAGAAATATTAAGAAACTGCTTGAATGAAGTAATGAAGAAAATAAAGATGTTTCAAAAGAATTGCGTAATATTAATATTTGATCATAGAGCCTGTAGAAACTGCCAAACATTTCTCATGCAGGAAACATGAATAATCAACTGTGGCCATTGGCGGCATTCAAACCACAGATTTTCTAACACTCACAGGCGGATGATTACTCTCTTAAGAACGACTGCAAGGAAGAACGAGACGCAGATCAAGTCGAAATGGTTACAAATTTCATCACACTTTATTCGAACGCCTTTCTAGACACCATTAGGTTTTTTTTTTTTAACAGGAGGCACAGAAATTTCACTATACCCTTCCTTGTATTCGAATCACACATCATCCAGTTACTAGCTGGATGTCTTAATTGCTTATATCACGAGAGTATGAAGGGGGAAAATGCAACTCTCTTTTTTATTTTTTTTTTCCAATCTCCATTTAAAGAGGTGAATGGGAAAAGCCATGAAACTCAGTTGAGCGAATTCAGTCGGTGACGAGTTATCATCCACCACATTTTAGTTTGGACGTCACTGAAGAGTTTAATAGGTTTTTTGATACAAGAATCATAAAAAATTAGCGATGCCTTCACCGGGATGCGAAGATCTTTCAACTGCTGCAGGATGTGTTGACCACTTACATTGTGAGAGCACACGCTGGGTAAAGCGATAATTCCTTATAAACCGTGGTTTCAGGAGAAAAAGAAGAGAGTCAAATGAGATGTGCTTACGAAATATGACAATTTGGCTACAGACATCCTTTAATAAAAATATACGAAACTTGGCGAATTACTCAAAGATTTATGATAAAATATTAGCGGCATACCTTTATATGACCAAACGTAATGATCACATTATTAACTAAAAGTTATGAGGACCATATGCAAATTTTTCTAAAAGCAGTTATACACATGAGTTTTTCAAACGAAAGTTATGATATCTTTTGCATTATACAAGCGTTAATACAGAAGTATGGGTTTCACGTTCGTATTTCTGAAAAGCTAAAAATCTAAAATTCCACATCCTACGAAATGAAATATTTATGCAACCTCGTAAAAACCAATTACTTCGCTCCAGGTGAAAGAGGTTTTAGTAATAATACATTTTTTCCAGAATTAGTTTTTCATATTACAAAACTTTTCTTTCCGTTCCATTAGAAGTTTTCTTGAAGCACAAAAGATGAGTACCGAAATTACTAGATGGAACTTAAATTTCAACTGAATACTTTAGTTGAAATTAAAGCTCAATATCAATCATATTCATTGGACTGAATTATTTAAAGAATCGAAGCATAATAAACTAATTAAAAGATTTGTACACTGTTTACACATTACAAACTTATATTTAAAGAATTACACCACATTTACAAAATAACTTGACTGATTAGCATCTCTTACAGTCTGAGAACTTACTTTATTTTAAAGATTCTCAGAATGGACCCATTATAGTTTTTCAAAATTTAACAACTAATTTAATGAAACCATCAGTCTATGCCCAGTCATCGTAGGAAAACACTGCAGGACTCTTGTTCTTTCAGATTTCTTAACTATGCCAGATGAAATTTCTGGAAATGAAAAACAGCTCCAACAAAATAGACAGCTGTAAATAGCTCAAGGAGTAAAACAGAGTTAAGGTGAGTTTGCCTTAAGCAATTACGCTAAGAATTACTAAAATAACTTGCGCAGAGAAATTCAAAATAACAATCACCAAAGATGAAGCTTTCTAAAAAAAAAAACCATTTACTAACTCTGAACTAACTATTCAACTAACTGACTGACTATCACTCATAGCATCCTTTTTAGAAATGGATTGCTCAAAGGGAAAGGGCTTTCAGCATGTCCACATACTGTAAAAATCGTCAAAGCTAGTCAGGAATGTTTATGTCCGCATCTCTACTTGAGCTACCTTTCCAATTATACCATCATCTACTTGAGCTGCCTTTCCAATTTAGTTGATTCAGAATTTAAATATACAATACAATACCTGAAATAAACACAAATTCTTTAATTGGCCTCAAATTCAGAGAAAAATCAAATTCAGAATGAACAGAAGTGAAATTACTTACAACATATTCTAATTAAATAAAAAAGTAATTAAATAACAACAGTTAACGTGGTACTGGAAAAATACATTAAAACAAAATTATAAACAAAGAAATAAAAATAGTTATAAATATCTACAATATTTAGCTGAAGAGCCTTGTAGAAACATTAGATTTCTGTACAGATTTAATTTAATTTTAGATTAATTTCTGTGAATTTACACAAAAGAAACTTAATGAAAATATGAAATTTTTATTGTTCACAGTAATTCACGGTTTCAAATGTTAAAATTTTAAGTTGTATTGCCAGTGAATGTTTACAAAGAGCAATGTAATAAAGCATTATATGGAAAATGCGGCTTACACGTTTGTTTCATCGGCTATAAATTAGGAATATTTTTGCCTTGCAGATCCTTGGTGTCCAGAACTTCCAAGAATTAATTACGATTATAATGGACGAAAATATAAATATTACTACGCTATAGCAAGGAAGGATGAAACTGTAGACAATGTGCATTTGGTAAGATTTATATTGCATATTTAACAAAATCATTAACAATTATATTCGTTATGATTCATTGATAGTATAATTTACAAATGGGTAAAACTTGCACTGTGACTTGCAGGGGGTAGCAATCATGGCTATTTAACTCTAGACTCGGGGCATGCTTTTAGTCCAATCGCCCGTGAAGTAAGTGCTTTCCTACAAATAAGCTAGAGATCCGCGGTTCGATGCTTGCCGGTAAACTATGTCGTATCGAACCCTCGTCGATAGATGGCGCCATTGCAGTAACATTTGTTTGAAAACCTAATTAGCGAATCACCATAAACTGGTAACAACGCATGTGATGCAAAGTATTCCTTTAGAGCTTAGGTTTAGAACGACGGCAATACTGCCCTCTAGTGGACGCTGGAGCGTCAACACCTAAGTAACAGTATTCTGTGGTAAAGGATGGAGCCTTTCTTTGAGAGCGGTAGTAGGTCCAAGTGCAAATGGAGTCTGTTGTGTACCTAGTATTGCGAAACCGTGCCACGTTTCGCGAATTTTCTCCCTTTGATTAAATCTCTGCTACTAAAATTTATAAGATTTTGTGAAATTTGTACTGCTCCATCATTTCCTTGTGCTACATTTTGTGATTTAAAAAATTTTAATATACACTGAAGTGCCACTGAATTAGGGATAAACAGGGCTATGCAAATTTTATAGCGCTGCGTGGCATCTGTGCTCACGTGAGGAAGTTGTGGTAAATTCACATACAGCTAGTACTATGGTTGTTATTAACAGTCGTTTCAATTGCCAGTATGGGTAAAACTTCTGGGCAATTCAATTTCCAAAACATTCAGCGGGCTAAAGATTTTCAAGGTCGACAGTGTCAAGAGTATACCGAGAATACACGGACGGTGAGAAAAAGAACTAGCCATCGGGCAAATTGCAAAGGACAATTGACCTAGAACAAGCGTAGTGTGAGACGGCTCAGCCGTATTGTACATAGTCAACGAAGCCAAACATTAACTCAAATTACCACCCAGCTGAATCAGGGCGACAGTCGTACAGTTAGTGCAAATGTGGTGTTGAAAATATTTCACTTATTTGAATGAATTTTTGCACTAAGAATACTCGTTTAGCTTGGAAATAAATCTATATGTGAACAGCTTTTTCTTCGTAGTTAAAAACTGATAAGGAAAGAACCCGATTCATTGATGAACATTTACAATCTGTGATGAAGATTATTTCCCGTAATTTCTCTGCAAGGCTACAGAATTTAGCAGAATCTAAACACCATCAAGTGTCAAGCTGTAGTAAAAAATAAATAGTTTACCATTATTTACATATAAACATACTATGTATTTTTATTTATGCACTGAAGAAAAGTTTAACAAATAAGAGAAGGAAATTAGGTTGTTTTTATTTATTCTCAAGTTTTGAGCTACTTGTAAAAGTTGCTCTGAAAACTTAGGAAACTTCTATAATATGTTTATTTTTAAAGAAATTATTTAATGATTAATTAAATATGTTAAAGTTAATTGAAAGAAAGGTCAATCTAAGAATTAATATTTAGCTCTCAGTATGTTTGAATTATTAAGTATAACCAACAAAAATCTCTTACAGGTATCAAACTTTAGATTTTAAATAGAAAATAAATATAAATATGATTTTTTTCCTTTATGATATTATTATGTTATATTTTGATGAATGTTTAGTAAGCGAAAATTAAGTTTTGTATTTTGTTAGTAAAAGTTTTCGTTTTATAAAAAGCAAAACAAACAAAGAAATGAATAAATCTGGCCTGTCAATCATTCTTATATCGTGCATGCTACCCGCATACAATGAGTTTGAGACCACTGCTGCACTATATTTCTATCTGATATAATTCGTAATTACACAATAATTTTATCACTAAGGAGAAAAGAATTCGCATAGTTGCCGCGAAATATCAGATAACCGAGAAAGTTCGTGCGGTTTTCGTCATTCATCAAAAACGGCCTACAAAAAATCTTAAACACTCATTGTATTCTTCGAATAATTACCATTGGTTTCAATTACATGTTCCCAGCGAGAAACAAGCTTATAAGTGCACTTTTTGGAAGAATTCTTCTTTCTGGAGGCCAAAAACTGCGATACAGCCTTTGTGACATCGTCGCGTTTTTGGAACTGCTGTTCCCGCAGGTGGTTATCCATGGCCAAAAACAGGTACGATAGAGCACGATAGAGCGAAGTCCGCGGAATAGGATGTCTGAGGCAGAACTTTCCAGTTCAGTATTTTGATCACCTCTTTGGTCGCTTTTGCTGTATGAAGTCTGGCATTATCATATAGGATGAGAACTTCTCTTCTGTTAATCAGTGCTGGCTGCTTCTGGTGCACTGCAGGGGAAACATTTGCAACTGTGACGAGTAGGCCTCAGCTGTTATGTCTTCTTCCTCTTTCTAGGTATTCATAGTGGGATATGCCAGCGCTTGTCCACCAAACACACAGCATTACCTTATTTAAGTGAATGTCCAGCTTAGCGATGAGACCGAGCCAGAAGTCGACCAACGATGTTTCCTCTTCCGGTTATCATACGTGATCTATTTTTCATCACATGTCAAGATTTGATCCTGTAACGAGCCTTTATTATTGCGCGACAGCAATGACAAGCAGATGTTCAACCGCTGGAGATTATTTTCCTCGGACAGAACATTGTTTTCCTCGGACAGAACATGAGGAGCACACTTAGTTTCCATGTCATCCCAAGGTTATGAAAATGTGATCGAATGGTTTTGTCAGATACTCTAAACCTGTCAACAAGCTTCTGGCAGGTTTGATGAGGATTCTGGTTGATTTCCTTATGATTTGGAATTTGTCGAGTATGGATGGACGAGCAACACGCGGCTTGTCTTCAAGGCTCTCGTCTTTGGAAGAAAATCGGCTGAACTACTTTTGAGCAATACGTTCACTTACTGGCGTCTCTCCAAACGAGGACCATATTTTTTTCTAACCGCCTCTGCAGTTTTGTTTCCTAATTTGTCCTCGTAAATCAAAATAGGCTGAAAATCTCCTTCGCCAACAACATGTTCTTTCGAAGATTGCGCCTCCTACAAAACCGATAGTTAAATGTGCAATACATTGAACAACTCTCTACTGAATAAGGTGTGATAGGAAATTAGTAAAAGAAATAGCTAACCAGTTATTAGAATTCTATAGACACTGCATAAAAATAGTACAAATATCGCTTAGTAACGTATTTGCGACATGTTTTAACATGCAGTTTTGAAAAAAAAGTTACAGACAAATTTTTTGCTGAACTGTATTTGAATCTTTTCTTGCTTTGCTGAACTGTTCCCTTCCTGAGGAAACTTCAGGAAGAGAAAATTAATGATTAATGTTATTACCATTTTATTTATTTCATTTTTTAGATTAAAGTGGATACAGTAAGTCGAACCACAGTATCTTGGAGCGAAGAAAATGTTGTACCTTCTGAACCTGTTTTCATAGCGGAGCCGAATTCTGTTAATGAAGACTCTGGTAAGATACAGCGTGATGTATTATTTAAGAAAAGTATTAATTTCTTCTTCGAGTGAACAGAAGTATGTAATTAATACACAGTTAAATTTTTTTTCAAAAGTTTAGGAGCTGATATTACGGACTTCTGCATATTCCCGATATATACAGTGTTCGAAAATAGTGGCTACGTCTTTACTTCCTTAAACATTGAACACTTGATTTCCATTTTATATTAAACGGTTATACCTTATCTAACTGCACTCGCTTAACCTTCTCTGCTCTCAAGAATTAGGGATTATGATATTCAAGAAGCTGAGTGTTCTGGCCGACCTACTGATGTTGGTAAGGCCCGCTCGTGAGAACTTGTTGAAGAAGATGAGTATGAAACCACTCGAGAACTTGCTAAGGAGTTAGACGTTAGTGCCATGCCCATTAATCGCGCTATGCATGACATAAACTTGACGTACAAGTTCAATCGTTGGCTGCAGCTTGAGCTGAAGCAAGCAGATAAGGCAGACGTGTTCGTGCCTGCACTGATCTGCTCGAATATCAACGCAAGAACAAAATTCTGGACCGGATCGCCACTTGTGATGAAAGGTGGATTTACTTCAACAACACAGGCTGGAAAAGGGGTTTGGTCTGCGCCTGGTGAGCCCGTCGGCAGCGTAGCAAATCACAATTTGAATAACAAAAAGATCATGCTTTGTATCTGATAGGATTGCTGTGGTATTATCCATAAACGGTATCTAAAAAAGTGTAAAATCCTCGACATTAAGGTTACAGTGAGATGCTAGTTCGTGTTGACGCTGCTATCAAGGAAAAACGTCGAACTGCGTTCCAGCGCAAAAAGGTAATGTTCCACCAAGATAATGCAAGACAATGTGTCTGCATTTACCGGCTGGACTCTGTACGGATTCGAATTGGATCTATTGCCACATCCATCATATAGCCTCCAGATCACTCCTTCGGACATTTACCTTTTTTCACCTGCAGCTGCATCTAGCTGGTGCTACCCTGCATTCTGCACAGAATGTCCGAAATGAGGTTGATCTGTTTTTGGACTCGCGGCCACCAAATGTCTGTAAAACTACCCAAATTTTGGCAGAAAATCGTAGATTTGGATGGTGATTACTGCCTGCACTAATGGTACTGTTTTAATTTTGTTTTCCCCGTAACTTTATTAAGAACGTGTTTTGGCGGAAAACTTTCGTTACAACCAGATATTATTTATTTTATTAAATTTAAATACAAAAATTTGTTTGCTGTATGTTATTTATTTGAGCATGACTACACTACACAGAAAAATTAATTTTTGACATTTTAACATAAACGTCGTGCATTGCCCTGTGATCCTTTGCTTAATTTTGCTTCAATTAAAAATTCTTTTCATTTTTCTTTTCGTTTCCACTTTGCGCAGAGAAATAACTTTTTTAAGCTCCTTAAGTCTCCATGAAATTCGGATCTAGTTAGCCCATTTCTACTGAAGTTTTATCTCCTCCCTTCCCATACTCCTTATAAATCCAAACCGAAAACTAAACCTGAAACTTCTAAAGATTAATAGGAATAAGTTGACGAAAATAACAGAAATAAACCGAGTATAACATGCAACTAATTAGCACTCGAATATAATGTCAAAAGCACGAACGGAGAGCTAAGGTCCACGTGCCAAACCTTATAGCATTGCTCTGAAGCCAAACACCAAAAATAATCTAATTCATATAACATTCACATAACACATTCCTCACTTCAGTTCTTCCCCCAACTATTCATGCATAAATTGATGCTCCAAGAATATGATTTACAAACGATGTTTGGAGTAAAACAGTAGTTCAGAGATTGGTGGATTCGAGAATTAGTAATCATATTTGTATGCAATTTCATTCGGGATGAAGAATGGTGAATAATACACAGGAAAAAACTGTTGTACAAACGATAGATCGAGGCTGTATTAGAGGCATGCCAAACTCATTACCTCTAATGGGTAAAATAAATATCGTTTTACAATAGTGCAGCTTACAAGGAAGGCGAAAAATAAAATTTTTCATTCTTAGTGATGTATATAAAAAATGAATAAATGCATAAACTCTTATTTAGCACTGTAGTTCTTTAACAAAAAAAAAAAAAAAAAAAAAAAAAAAAAAAAGCATAAAAAAAAGTCCTGAAAGTAGATACTATATAGCTATAGTTTCTTTCTCGACAGCTGGCATCGTTTTTCTACAACTAGCTTTCGAATGTCTAGAGACATGAGAGACTAATACAATACAAAAATGCGGCTGTCTAAGGGCCATGCAAGCAAGTATTTATAAAAGTCCGGGATGCCCAAATTTTTAATTTACTTACTTTGAATTCACTGAAAGTTTTCCATCAAAAATAGACATAAAATGAAGTTTGCCTTAGAGTTTGTAATTAATTCCAACTGTAAAAGATCTGGCACGTTCTTAACATCGGTTGAGAAAATATTTTTGTAAGGAGACCATCTTAAGAATTTTTTTCAACACCCGAGATAGTATACAAGGTGTGACACACACACACAAAAAAAAAAAAAAAAAAAAAAAAAAAAAAAAAAAAAGAGAGACTGGTCTAATAAATCATTGTAGTTATATAATCAGCTATCCCTGACATTATCAGACATGCCATATACATGATATGTATATGACAGATAGGGCCGTGTGAGCAGGTGCATTTTCCTGGTACAACAGCCATCCATTACACTAAAACTGACTTTTTTAAAAATTTTTCACAAAGTCTTTTTAGTACTTCAATGTAGTAGTGTGGATTAACAATCTGACCACTGGAACCCATTCAATCATGACGAAGAGCGCCCAGCACGTTCATCATCTTCCGCACTGTCACTTTTCCCTGAAAACCGCTTATACCATTCAAACACACGTGCATGAGACAAAGTTTCATCTCTATAAATCTCAGTTAACATTTGAAATGTTTTCTCCGTGGCTGATATCTTAAGTTTCACAAGGAACTTTATGTTGATTAGCTGTTCAGTTTTTACATTAGACATTTTTAGGCAGAATGCAGTTGCACATGTTCACTCAATGACGCAGTACTCCCCGCTGGCGTGGTTCGAAACTGGACGCATGGATAGAGGAGGTGTGTGGCATGACATACCAAAACAGTTGTTGCCAACTCCACTGTTTTCAAGCTACACACATCTCGTTTTTTTTGTTTTTTTTTTGGGGGGGGGGTCACACCTCGTTTATGCCTCAGTTATGGAGTGAAATTCTAGTTTTTGTTAACATATTATTATTATTATGTAATTCTTGCTAGTTTCTCGGGGTAAACCGAGACTTCAGAAAAATGAGTCATGGCCCTCGAGTCTGACATGCCTGATCTACTTTATATGAAATCGTTATAATCTAAATACGTTTCTTTGTTTTCAATTTTAGGTGTTATATTAGCCTCTCTTCTATACAAAGATGACGAAACCAAAGTTTCCATGTTAGTTTTAAATGCGAAAACAATGAAAGAAATTGGAAGAGTTACCTTCGCTACGAATGCGTCTGTACCTGGTGACTTTCATGGGACTTTTATATCTAAAGCTTAATTTTTCCCCCTACGTTTTAAATCAAAAGTGACAGTTTTTCGTTTTTTTCACATTTCTGATGTGTACCAACTATGGAGAAAAGTACATTTGCTGAATTTATGTAATAAGTGTTCAAATTTTATGAATTTATACAAGATTTTGAAAATGCTTACATGTTTTCTGATTGTAATTTTATTTAAATTTTATTAAAGTAGTTTTGATATATGTATTGATTGCCTAATTATGTGTCTTTAAATATGTTTTATAATACGAATAATGACATCTGTAAATTTCTAAAGCACATAAAACCTATGTGTTGCATACTTACGGCAGTGCGTATCACTACGGGAAGAAAACCATTTTTGAGAGAATAACGAATGAACGCTTAAGGCTGTCTATTAAAATTCACTTTAGGAGCATTGCGGGCAAAAATCATTAGTTCAAAAGACAAGCATTTTAAAAAATCAAAGAAGAAAATAAATTAAAATCTCTAGATTCCCAGGGATTTCGAGTTAATTTTTTAAAAAAATATTATATAAAAGTCGAGTCTTCCGTATTCTTTTCTTTTAAGAACTTTATTACAGCGAAAATATTTTTGTGAGAAATAAAGTTTTAAATAATTATCGTAGAGGTGGCTATTGGGCGTCTCTGAGTTACGAATTTCTGAGTTCCGGATGAGTACAGGCTGTTTATCATAAGAAAAGCTCTCGCCAGTTAATCTGCAGCTGTCTGTTGCCTTAGAAACGAACCTTGACCCATTTTCCGTAGGGCTGTCCTGAAGACGAAGGATTAAGTCTCTTACCCTCAGCCAACAGTCGCCAAAAACAAAATAACAATAAAGCAACCCTTGGTTCGTCCCTATTTAAAATATACTAGCCCGGTTTCTATAGCGACCGCCACCCGCCAGACACTGGCGGGAGCTGTTCTCGTAGACAGATAGATAGAGGCGGAAACCAAAGTGGGACGGTCAGTGAGTGAAACAGAAAACGAATGTAATACTCGAGAATTATTTAATATTATACACAATTTTAGACTAGTTAAAAATAATTTAGAAGTTCATTCGGAGCTCAAATGTATGGCATTAAGGAGCTTCGTGAATTTGTAATAAATCTGACGGCGGCTCTGACAGATGTAAACTGGCCTTATGTAAATCTGTCAGAGCCGCTCGTAGCGAGTCGCTCGTCCGTGCGTTTCGAACCGAGTGAACGGACTTGTACTCTGATAGATTGTTTACACCAATCAGAGTGGAGTGACAACTCGCCTCCGTTTGTTTACGAAATGGATACCGACGTGGCAGCTGCAGGAAGGAATAGCATTGAACATACATAGATGTTCTTTGGCTGCAGCGCTTGAAGTCTGGGAAGCAGTTTCAAACGAATTAATTTCAGCTCTTGCGAGGGGGAAAAAAAAGAAGAAGAAAAGGAAATGTGGTACGTGACTGGGTAGGTTGCCGCGATGAATTAGGAGTATTAAAAATGAATTTAAATGAATTTCGGACGAGAGAATGTCCAAAGTTACAAAAACGTTATTGCATATCAGATACAAGAATTTAAACGAAACTCACTTTGAGAGGAAGTTATTTAGTCCAACTGTGGTTATTAAAATTCAAATTAACGAAGTTTTTCTACTATATACAACTGTTTATTTACATCTAATTAATCATTTACAAAATAATGTAAAAGTAATAATGTGTTTTATTATTTATTAACCTTCCAGCGGGCGCGCGTATGTGTGACATACACTAGATTTTAATTTCGCATATTTTTCTTAGACCAGAAGGCGCTATGACCGCGTGTTCTTGGCTATTCTCTCCTCTTCGTTCGCCCTTCTTTCAGTCGTCTGCTGGATTTCGAGGGGTTAATGCGAGTCTGCAGATTTACTATTTGTATTCCAGAAATACGCGCGACTGTTGAAGTAAGTTTTTGCTATATCTAATTTCCTTTTTTATTATAGAAAATCTTTATTCCTTTGCATCTAAATCTTATAATTTTGTATAATTTGTGTGCATAATTACTTTTAATGATAAAATAGAAGCACTGTATGCGTCACATACGCGCGACCATGAAATAATATTTTTGTTCTTTTCTTTTCAGTTATGGCGAATAAAAGTAAAATACTCGACATGAATGATCTTGAGATTATAAGAAATATGCTTTTATGTGACAGTGATGACGATGAGGACATTATTTTAGATGAAAGCATTACAGATGAAGAAGAGCGAATTTCAGAAAAAGGTGATTCAGAATCGGAGATAAGTGCAGAGGGCAATTCTGAAGAGGGAAATAATGATGATAATTCTTCCGAAATATATATAGTTCATAAAACAGAAAAGTCATCGATTCTTGGACATGGCATAAAAAGAAAACTAAACGAGCGCCTCGTAACATGTGTGTTCATGTTTCTGGAGTCATCGGTGAAGCTAAATATCTAACAGATATTTTGGATATATGGAAATGCCTCTTTACTGATAGTTTGATAGAAATCATCGCTGAAGATACGAATAAGTTTATTTCTTCTGTGAAGTATAATTATTCTCGTATAAGGAACAGCAGAGAAACGAATGCGCAGAAATAAACTTTTTTGGGCTTACTTATCTTAGCTGATATTTATCATGGTAACAGAGCTCTGTAATCTTGAGGAACTGTGGAGAATGGAGGAATTTAAAGTAGTAATGAACTTGAAGAGAGTTTTGTTTTTACTGAGAGTTTTGTTTTTACTAAGAGCTTTACTGTTTGATGACATAAACACAAGAGCAGAACGAAGAGAAGTCGACCGGTTGGCTCCAATAAGAAACATTTTTGAAAAGTTTGTCTCTAATTGCCAGAAGTGCTATTCACTTAGAGAGAATGTCACAACCGATGAGAAATTAGAAGGATTTTGAGGAAGATGTGGTGTCATTCAATACATTCCCCCCAAAAAAAAACCGAACAAATATGGCATAAAAATTTATGCCATGGTAGACGCTCGTATGTTTTACACATACAATATGGACATTTATGCTGGAGCGCAGCCAGATTGTCTTTTTACGTAAGCAACAAACCACAAGATGTTGTAAAAAGGTTGACAGAACCTATTGATAACACTGGAAGAAATGTAACCACAGACAACTGGTTTTCAAGTTTTGAGTTAGTACGAGAAATAGATGAAAAAAATTATCATTTGTAGGTACTTTGAAAACAAGAAACAAAATAAACCTCAAATTCCGGGATCAGTTCAAGCTGGCGAAAACTCGGGAACCCAATACGAGTCTTTTTGGATTTAGAAAAAATATGACACTTCTCTCCTATGTACCCAAACGTTATAGAAACGTCATATTGATTTCAAATCTTCATGATGACGTAGCAATAGATGAAAATACCAAAGACCAAAAAAAGCTTGAGATTATCACATTTTACAATCGTACCAAAGGAGGTGTGGACTCTTGTAGTTTTCTCCTATATGCTGAATATAGCAGCAATCAACAGCTACATAATTCATTCAAAGAATAATAGTGAAAAATTACTTAGAAGATAATATCTGCGAAAGCTAGCAAATGCTCTTGTGAAAAAAAAAAACGTTGAAAGAAAGAATCCCTAACTCTCTTCAAAGTGAGCTGAAATTTAAATTGTTGAAACGAAAAGCAGAATTAGCTGTTGTTGAAGAATGACTTCAGGGAAAAAAAGATGCAAACCCTACCAAAATGACAAGCATACTGGAATTACGAGGTTCATCAGTGAGATTTGTTTAAAATTCATTTGTCTAGAGCACTTTAAACATATTTGTTCAGACTGTACCGATGCAATGAAAAGACTATGAAATTGATTTGTTATGTAATATTTAATGATTAAAAATTACTGATTAAAAATATAAAAGTTCAATTGAAATATTGGCAGTTTAATTTTGTTTTACTTTCAAGTTAGTTTGATAAGTCTTTAGTCCATTTTATATTGTTTTTTTTTTCTTTATACTTATTTTATTTTCCTTAATTTAAAGTTAATATTGTTTAACTCAATTGTACTTATTAACATTTAACTATTTACAAGCTAATTTTAATATATTTGCTCTGGAAAATTTATTTTTTATAATAGCGTATCTAAGAAATACGCGCGACTTTTCTCTTGTTGGTTCAGAAGGCGCGCCCGCTGGAAGGTTAATAGAGAGAATATATTTATTCATCCAGAATCCACAGAATCAATAGCTCTCTGTGCATGTAATTAATTATGCAGAGTTCTGACTGGAACTGTGTTATTTCTAGAGAAGAATGCAAAATTAACACATAAAATATTTATTCAAAGCAACGGCAGAAGTAAAATATATAATATCTACCTAATTATTCAGAAAATCTTAAATAAATAAGTAGCAAAAAACTTAGGAGCATTACATATATTACCACAGGTAAAAGAATATGTATATTATGACATAGTTTCCAACAGGAAGATATTTACTCCAAATTCTTACTTTTGGATCCTACTTAAATTGTGCTTCTGGACAACACCACAAAAGTGATATCAACAAATTAATAAAGGTTAAATATAGTGATTATATTTTACTTTTAAAATGCTAAAACGGATAGTTTAAGAAGATTAGAATTCTTCTAGCATAATTTGTATAAGCCTTAATACACCTTCAGTACACTCACACATCCAAGCTGAACATGTTTCACATCCAAGCTGAATTGTAACGAATTCTAGCCCAGAATGCTTTTATACAAAGCAAGAAATTTAAATATCCACAATATAAAAAAACAGATCTATTTATTTTTTTCATAATTCCATTTTTATTTTTATAGTTTATAATATCATATATTTATTGCATCATCATGTAGGATGCTTGTAGAAAAACGAATATAAGCTCACATAATTATAGAAGTATGCAACATCTTAATGAAGCAGTGAAGTATTCCCTAAAACTCTTCATAAGATGCGTATGCATTAAAAAGTGCCATGGTTTGGCTTTCGCTTTACATCTCGGCATTATAGAACTCACTGTCACGACGTCCCTGCGAACGCTGCTCGGACTAAATGCCCGGATAGATTTTTCAACAGGTTCAAAGTAGAAACGGAAGCGCTGACTCATCTCCCCTACGTTTCTACTCCGACGAAGTGAGCGTTTACACTGTCAAAGTAATCGTAACGAGCGACTCGCTCCGAGCCGCTCTGACAAGTGTAAACTGACGATGTTACTTTTAGAAAATTTCGAGAGTACGTAAAATTTGAGGACAACAAATGTGCGTCTTGCCTGCCTTGGAAC